GGGGATGGCTAAAGCCATGTACCTTAGGGTTAGTTTTTTTGATGCAGTTAATAGTTTTATTTATATATAGATATCAAAGAACAGAATTTATCCAATATGTAGATCTATATGTAAAGGTACATGGCTTTAGACGACCCTATTTTAAGTTTCTTGTCCCACTTGATTTTTAATTGTAAATACCCGCTGTCTTATATATAAACACCAAATATTAATCGAAAAAATTTAATAGTAAATTTACAAAGATGAGTACCCAAATCTTAACGAAAAAAGTTGAGCTTGATAATAAGTTAGAACCTCATATTTCTGTCAAAGATAAAGTTTCCAAACTTTATCAAAATCCAAAAGTATACGCAATTTCCGCCGATTATGATAATGCTGGGAGCTCTAAAAAGACCGTTCTTGAGAAAACCAATTGTACTAATGGCTTTGCAGCAGCAGTTTTTCATGCTTACAATTATCATAAGCATTTACGTTTAAGCCCTGATGATATTTGGCTTACTATTTCTCAGGGAGTTAGTCGACATATTAATTATAATGCTGAAAAATTTCGTCAAAGATTTGTTAAACATGAGGGAAAAAAAGAAATTTGTATTATGGCTAATGATATCATAGATGCAAATACTCTTGAAGGTGATTGGCCAGAAGCTGTTAATAGGCTTGTTATAAAAACTGATGAAAATGTGGAAAAAATTGAACTTAAGGAATTGTTAGAATGTAATTTTTCAACAACAACCTCATGTTCCTTAACAGCAAGCCGCATTGTATTATTAGATATGGTTAAGGCATATTTTAGTTATAAAGTATGCTTTCGTTGTGGAATTCCGAAAGTTACACTTGAAGGAACGCTTGAAGATTGGACGAAGCTTCAAGAAAAAGTTATTCAATTAAGAAAGCTAAATTTAGAGCTAGATTTTTGGTTAGATCGCCTTGAACCTGTGATCTGGAAATTAGTAGCAACTTATCGTGGTGAAGTTGACGAAGATTTTTGGAGCAAAATTATGAATATAACACGTCCATTTGGCTCAGGAAGTGGTAGTCCTTACATCACAGGATGGTTGACAAGCTTCTTTCCTTATAATCGTGAGGGAACACCCTTAAATTCCGATAGTTTAGATATTCCTGATATTCCAGATGGTATAGTTGAAGTTCCTTTTACCACTGATACTGGTTTATCTTTGAAATTTATGGCTGGATTCATTGGTGCCTATCAAGATGTTCTTGAAGGATGTGATGGCGAATCTGCTGTTTCTCCTATGGTTGGATGGTTTATTACTGATAATATGAAAGGTGCTTCTGATGAACAATCTTCATGAGATATTCATTTTCATTGTTCCCACAATTGGAATTTTATGATGTTTTACAACAGGGTGAAGCCTGAGATTTTTAGGTCTACATATTATTAAATATTATATTATATGAGAGTTGCAGAGTGAAAACCTGTAACCGATTATAGTAAATCATTATATACAGTTACAGGTTTTCGTTCTGCAATACTCGTATGTTATCTTCCTCAATCTCCTGTCATATTATATTTATCTACTATACTGTTTATTATTGGCTTTATAAATAAAATTTTACTTCCCTGACAGCTTCACAAGAATTTCGTACTAAAATCTAAAATGATTAATTTCAAATTTGATATTCAACTTTTGTTTTATATCTATCGCTCAATTATTAATTTTTATCGTCATATTCAAACGATTATCGTCCGTAATTTCTTTTTGAATCCACAAATTTTGACAAATATTTTTTATTTTTTAATTAGTAATCACAAAGAAAATTAATCATTATGCTATTATTATTATTGTTATGCTAAAACGATGACCCGATCATTTAGAAGTTCTCTATTAAAAGGGTCTATTTTTATATTTAGACAACTTTGAGTAAATCAAGTTTACAAATAAAAATATATATGGTTTTTCGATTTAAAATTTCATTTTATAAATCTTTTTTATGGGAGTTGAATTAAAACTTAAAAGCACAAAGTCCCATTTTTCTTTGCCAGCATTCATATGTAATCAGTTTCTGTAATCTAACAAAAAATTAAACATAAAATATTTTTTTAAAAAAAGTGGAAGTATAGGCTTTTTTAATTTAAGACACCATAAAAAAATTATTTAAAGTTTCAATCTTTATTTTAAATTTCTGATTAGTAAACTCTAGATTTTAGAAGCTGCAATTTCTAAATCTGACATTATTATTCTAATATTTATTAGAGAATTTCTATTTGTACCCTATGGGTATGTACCCGGTTTATATGATTAACCAATCAGATAGCAGGATCTCTGTGTAACAAATATAAAGAAATTTTTAAGAAAAATTAAGAAAAAATTAAAAATCGCTAATATCTCAAAATTTTATTATAAAAACTTGCTTCGTGTTACTAAGTAAAAGTTTTTAGCGTCCAATTTTACATATAATCTCTAACTCTAACTCTAATATGGTGCTCACTCTAACCCTAAACTTAATTTTAAATTTTTATTTTCTTAAAAAATACGGGATCATACCTGTAGGGTAATCTAGTAATTTTCTATTTATTAATAGATTAAAATAAATATTTTCTAGAATTACTATGAAAAATGTGATGTATATATATATGCATATGTGTTATTTTTTTATAAACCATATGTGCATATATGTTTCACAATATATAAGTTAAGATTTTTGCAAAGCTTCTTTAAAGTAATAAAATTTATTAAAAGCTAAACAATTTTCAAATAATTTTGGTTTATAGTATATATCAAAATCAGATCTTCATTACTAAATAAAGATAATAATACTTTCACTAAATTCTTTGCCAAAAAAAGGTATTAATATTTATACTAGTAAATTGAAACTATCTGAAATTAGTTTTATAGAAAAAAATTATTAAAAGTGAAATAACTTTCAAATAATTTTGGTTTATAGTATATATCAAAATCAGATCTTTGTTACTAAATAAATATAATAATGCTTTTGTTTAAATTCTTTGCCAAAAAAAGATATTAATATTTATACTAGTAAATTGAAACTATCTGA